AGGCTGGGCCCTGTCATGTATCAGCCCAGAGCTGGCAGAGGGTGGCAGGCAGTCAGCTGTGATGGGGGAGGGGCAGTGACGGACTCACCTGAGTCAGCCCCCCCCCCCCCCCCCCCCCCCACCAGGATGGCTAGGGCTTGCTTTCATGGTGGTTGAGCAGGTTTCAGAGAGTAAGTGGAAGTGGAAAAGGCCTCTTGAGCCCTACTCCAGGGTGGAACCCATAACCTCTGCTGCATTCTGTTGGCCAAAGCAAGTCACAATTCCAGCCCAGATTCAAGGAGAGGGGAAAGGATACACTCCATGCCTAAGTGGAGGGAGCTGAAGTCACATTTGAAAGGGCTGGGTGGCTCAGTCGGGTTAAGCATCTGGCCCTTGGTTTCTGCTCAGGTCACGATCTCTGGGTTGGGAGATTGAGCCCCACAGTGGGGAGTCTGCTTCTACTCCCCCTCTGTCTTCCCCCTCCCCCCGGCTCATGCACTCTCTTTCTCTCTGAAAAAGATATTTCAAAGAAATAAAAAAGAAAGGGCTGAGTGAGATGCAGAGAGGGATAGAGGATGAAATCCATTTTTAGCAACCAGCTACACTAATGCATGTTCCCTCCATCTACCCAGAATTCCAAACCAGCAACGTGTGAGCCATCCTTGACTCCAACCACTCTCACTTCCAAGTTCCACCATTTCTACTGCCTACACCCCTGGGTGTCTCCCCCTCTCCATCCCCACTGCTCTCCTTACCTCTCAGTTGAATTCTTCAGGACTCCTGCTGTAGACTAGGAATAGATGATGACTTGTTTACTTGCTCTTCCCTTGGAAGCTTTCTTTGATCAGCACTGCCACCCCCACTCCTATCTCCCAGTTCCTCCCTCTTAGGACACCCTTGGCAGCACTGATCTCAACTGTTACTCTCTGTAAAATTTGTTTCATGACTGTCTCCAGGCAGGCAGAGACTCTAGCTTGTGTCTTTAGCATCAGCACATAGTGGTACCTGGGACTTTGAAGGTCCTTTGTTCACTGACTCACTTTCTGAATGAATAAATGAATGAATGCTGTCTTCACTGTGTGAAATGGAAAAGACAGAAGTCATATGTGTAACCATTATCCCAATAGCTTGGTTTTGAGAGCAACCTACTCTCGAGAGAAAGTGTTCCAGGAAATGTCCTGAGATAACTGCTGTATCTCAGTTGCACTGACTTTTGGCAGCTTACAAGGCAATCCCCTTCTGTTAAACTTCAGTTTAACTGGAAAGATTTAAAGCAGGCCACCTCATTCCTTGACAGGAGAAAGCACCATAAAGACAGTTACTATTTACAGAACCACTCTGAAACCATTGGTTCCAGGGATCCTTCAGCTGTTCAGTGATAGGGGTCCAAGTCATTGTGTCCCAGATGCTCTTTGGCTCTCTTTGAACACAAAATGGCCCGTTTCACCAAACACCAAGTCCTCACCAAAGCAGGAAGGAAGCGTGGGATTCTATTGTCTTTTTATTATGAAATAAAATAATTCTCAGAACCCAGCAGACTTTCTCTTACCTCTCATCTCCAGAACTGAGAAGCTGAGAGTTTATCCAAGTATCTAGCAAAGAAGACTGGGATTGCCACTACCTTAGAACAACCCTAGCTCCTCCCCAGGAGCTAGTGGACACCTTGCTCCCCCATTAAGTCAAGAAATAAAAGAGGGGGTCTCTGTTGAGCAGGAATCAATGGACTCTGCACCTTTCACTTTCCTGGGATTGAAATGCAGAACTGTGAAGGGAAAAGAGCACTTTCTTGGCTGAATCTTGGACTCACCTCTACACCTCATTCCCCATCTTAATTCCCTGTCAGGAATAAGATCATTTTAGTTTAAGGTCACCCAATAAGTAAGATTCCTAAGACTGTTCTCTGTCCACTGATAATTATGTTCCATTTTGCATTCACATTGCACCTTAGCTCAGAGGGCTCAAAATGTTATTCCATTCTCCTTGGAAACTCTTTGCATCTGCAAATAGACAAGATAATCCCATGACCTTTTAATACAGACAATATGTTACCGAACTGTTACTGACGAACTGTTACTGAACATTATAAATAGCATTGCCTAAATTGTTGCTGCTTGTGTTCTATCTCATTTTGGATTTCTTTGTGTCCAGAGTTATGTAAAATTGTACTGCAACCAATATAACACAGGCAAACTGAAGTGGTTTTAAAATGACAATGGAAATGCGTAGGCACAGATATGGATACACAGATCCTGTGGGTGTTTGAAATAACTATGAAGGGCAGAATTTGGTAATTCGCAAATACCAGCCTTGGGAATTTATTAACCCTTTACCAGCCATATCAGCTTGATTTCTAGCCGAGGTAAAGCTGCCAAGGGTCCTCCTCTAGTTCAAGAATATCTCTCCCTCCACCATCCATCACCTCCTAGTATCAGCTCTTCCTGTGTATCCTAAATCCTTGAACAATGAGCTCACTGGAGACTCGCAGACTACCTTTAGGTAATTTCACTGGAATAAAAACTGTGCTTTGCTACCAGCTCCCTGCTTTATTTCAACAGTCAAAATTATTGAAAATCTACTCGCTGCAAGACTCCATTAAGTGCTGGTACAGAATACAAAGAACAGTTAACTTTCTATTACCAATCATCTACTGAGGGGATGACAAAGTATAAGACACTCCTGCCTGCCTTCACAGACATTCCCATAGTGAAATTATCCTTTATAAATTTGAGTTTACCAAAAAATTCTATTTCTTCTTTAATCTTAACTAAACCTGTAAAATGGGTTAAATATCTCCTAAATTGAGGTTCAGACAAGTTTATAACTTACCCGGTCATTGAGCCATTCAGTAGGAGACACCCCCAACCCCTCTGATTTCTAATCTTGGCATTTCCCATCAAGGTAGAGAGCAGGATGAAAACACTCGGTTCATGTAAAAGGAATGACAAAGCAGGTCAGGGTGCCAACTCCAATAGAGATGCAATGGGGAGAATTAAATCTGAATGGGGGAGGGGGCGGTGGTAATCAGTGAAAGCTACAGGAATAAATTGCCCGGTCTCTGAGCATGAGTAATATTTGGTAGGCAGAAACACAGAGGGTGGGAGATGGCATGTCAAGTTGAAGGAATGGCATGAGCAAAATCATGCAAGTATAATGCAAGTCTGGGGAGCTACGAGTAGTCTCAAACATTAGAAGGATGTGGTCGATAGCCCAAAAAGTTGGGGACCAGACTGTGGATGGCAATGCATGCCATGCTCAGGAATTTATCTGGAGGCTATGGAAAGCCACTGAACTCTTCTTAAGGAGGGTAACCCTGACTATATGTAACAGGGTCAGTGCTAGGAGCATATATATATGAAGAACAAAATATCATCTCTGCTCTCAAGAATCTTAGAACTATTTACTTACTCATCTCCCATAAGCAATTATTCTGAACCTCCTTCTTGCTCAGGCGCAAGAAGTTATCACATCCTCACTTGAGCTAAGCCATCACCTCATTTTGGAGAATAGGGTACCTTACTGCATTTCTTTTCCAAATCAAATGATTTCCATAAATTCCAATCTTGCAAGGAAGTATCAGAGCATTTTCTCTATGCTTTTTCCATTTGGGGCTTTATGAGCTAGCCTGTCAATTAATCCTCACCATACACGTTTGCAGTTGGAAAACAATCACAATACAGAAACCCTGGGCCGCTATTCACTCCTCTATACAAACTTTCCACCTCAGCAATACGAGCTGCAGAGGCTGCCTCACCACTATTATTCATAACCAAGTAACTTGTCTAACAGATTCTGGGAAAGCTCTTGTATGAACAATACCAATTGTTTTTAAGTGGGGATGGGATAAACACTTGTATTCCAAACCTGTTTTCTCTTGTGCTCAAGAAGTAAACCTACTGGTGCCCCAGGAAGATTAAATTTTTAAAAATTATAAACACTGTAAGAAAGCAAACACACCTGTAGTGAGAACAGGTGTAAGGGACTTTATCATCCCAAACCAGAAATAATTTCTCTTCTCTGATTCCAAGCACTTTCATTTCTCTCCTTGAAATACTTTTATCAGGGAAGGTTCACCTATGACACTCAAGGTGAAAAAAGGACAATCAGGAATTCACCAACTTAAAGTGTAGGTATTTCAGGCAAAGAGAAGTACAAAGGAACTGGGGCAAGAAAGAGCAATTCCAAGAAATACATTTTTCCTAAGAGCTAGAGCACCATACAAGAAAACCGTAAAAGGTGGGGCGCCTGAGTGGCTCAGTTGGTTAAGCGGCTGCCTTCGGCTCAGGTCATGATCCCAGGGTCCTGGGATCGAGTCCCATGTCAGGCTCCCCGCTCAGCGAGGAACCTGCTTCTCCCTCTGTCTCCTGGCTTGTGCTCTCACTCTCTCTCTCTGAAAACCCATAAAAGGAAATGACAGGGAAAACAATTTCTTGGTAGGAACCAGACAGAGTGCTTTAAACCATCTGTTTTTAAATAGCAGCCTCAAAGGCAAGTTCTTTATCCTTAAAACACAGCTATTTAAGACAGGATACAATTACAAGAACTCAACTTTCACCGAGCTTAAATGCAATGTGACAGGTAACCTTTCACATATTTTTTTAAAATTCTTTTTTCTTAGGGATTTGGAGGGACTGTTTTCCAACTATAAATATTTTTATAGTATCTGGCAGTTTCCTAACCAACTGAGTATACTGTTCTACAATAAACTACCTCAGATCTTCCAGCAAGAAAAAAGCCACTAAGTGAATAAAGACATCACCCAATGAATTAGGACACAAAGTTTGCTTTAAATATTTTTTTGGGGGAAAGGACACCACACTTCTACTCAATTGAGAGAAACATTTTTACGGTCTTGAGGTCTTTTATTTTCTTTACATTTATCATGCCATGAATTCATAGGGAATGGGTTCCAGCAGTTCGGGCTCCTTTCCATTAGTTCTCACAAAGTGTGCTTCTCTGGGTGGGGCAGGCTATTAAAAAAAAAAAGCAAGAACAGTAATCAATTTCAAAGTGTTCTCAGGAACAAAGAAATAACATACTCAAATTCATTAACTTTCATATAAAAGAAAATTACCACTGAGCAAGTTTTAAAATTCCCAAGATCAATACCAAGAAATCATCTGTCAAGCACTCACCTGGCGCTTCAGTTGAACCCAAGTACCTTTCTCTTTGGCTTCCTTCTTTTTCTGGTCATTTTCCTTCACACGCTTCAGGAAGCTGTCTCGGCTCTTTGAATGTTTAATATGCTCAATGCGTACATTAATTCTCTTGGCAAGAATCTTGCCCCTGGGGAGAATCAACATTACTATAAATGCTTCAGCAAAAATGTTAACAAAGTCCAATTTTATTTGGCAGTTTCATTTATTAAACAAACCACAAACCTTTTACCAACAGATAGCATTACTCAGCAAGGCCATGGCTAATTTACAATCATTAATTGTACTGTAAGAGGCCTTGAAGCAAACATCTCTACTTTTTCTTTTTTTTTTTTTTAAGATTTATTCACTGGGGTGCTTAGGTGGCTCAGTCAGTTGAGCCTTCCACTCTTCGGTTTTGGCTCAGGTCACAATCCTAGGGTCATGGGATTGAGCCCTGTGTTGGGATCTGCACTCAGCAGGGTGTCTGTTGGAGATTCTCTCTCTCTCTCCTCTCCCTTTGCCCCTCCGCACTGCTCATGTTCTCGCTCTAAAAATAAATAAAAGATTTATTTTGGGGGGGAGGTAGAAGGAGAGGGAGTCTTAAGCAGACTCCATGCTGAGCATGGAGCCTGACGTGGGGCTCGAGAGCCCACAACCCAAGCCAAAACCAAGAGATGCTTCACCAACTGCACTACCCATACGCTCCCAAACATCTCCACTTCTAAGCTTTCTTTTGATGAGGTAACAGACCTTGAAATACTATATAACCAAAACCAAATCACTAACTCAATTTACTACTTACTATTCTTTTTTATACTCTGAAAACTAGAACTGCTTAACACCAAACCCTAATAAAACTTTCCATTAAGTCTAGTTCAATTTGTTTCCTCTGACAGGATACAAGGCAAACACCCAGTTTGCTTGAGTTTTAAAAGGATATTTCCTTTGCCCCACTTGAATGACCAATAAAGACATAAGTCCAATTGGCAAAGTGAAAAGGGGGTATGGGGTATGAAGGAATACTGATCGGCTAGAAAGAACCCTGACTAAAAAGAACCCCAACGTTACTTACTTAACTTGTTTGTTTACAACAATGCCAACAGCATGCTGAGTAACATTGTAGACTCTTCCAGTTTTGCCATGGTAACATTTGTGGGGCATTCCTTTTTGAACAGTGCCCATTCCCTGTTAAGAAAGGAGATGAAAGTTATGCCAGCATTTCCCCTTCCTTTTACATCCTGACTCTTATTAAACTAACTAAGATATTCTAAAATTTTCTTTTAAATAGCAACTCAAGAGCTTTCAGAGCCGGTGAAATGTGTTTTTCACATTGCTTTAAGCAATCAAAAAGACAATCATCATTAAGCTCCAGAGTACCAGGATACATTTAAATATTGGTCACAAAACAAAACTGTCACTTGTTTTTTACAAAAGTAACAATCTCTAACACCATCAACAATTAAATTTTGCACTAAGGTATTATTCCTTTCTACCTCCACAAATTCACAACCTGTTAACAAGTAACGAGAAAATTCTTAGACTCAGGAATAGCACTTTAAAAACTCTGGTTTCTGAGTTAAATAGCCATTCTACACTTACCAGCTCTTATTCAGACCAAAGATTTTTCCCTATTCAGGAGAATAAAAAGCCAACAGATGCAACATACACTAGTATGTGAATTCCAAATTAAACTTTTCTACCTTCTAATATTCTGTAAGTTATTTACCCAATTGTAGAATTTACCTTGATGTCCACAATATCACCTTTTTTATAGATTCGCATGTATGTGGCCAAAGGAACAACTCCTGCACCCAAAAAAATGAGTATAGTCAGTATCAAGATTAAAAAGTCTAGAGTATAAAAGAAACATGCAAGCTTATTAGCTTTCAACATACTCTATTTTTGACAGTTTTATTTTTAAATCTCATTTATAAGAAACTACTATATGAAATTTATGCTTTTATTACAAAAACAAGTTAGGTAGATGTTGGTTAATTAATACCATTTAGTAAGAATGCATTGTATGAAGGTATGCTATGTTTGCTCTCTAGAGGGTAAATCTACTTACCATGTTTTCTGAAAGGTCTAGAGAACATATAGCGAGTACCTCTCCTCTTTCCCTTTGTGTTGGTCATTTTGGCAAATTACTGAAAACAGAAAGTATAAAACAGTTAAATGCAAATACAAAATTGACATTTGTCTTTTTAAACAAAAACCAATCAAACAACCCTGTAAATGTCAAACGCTTGCATTACAGGAGCTACAGAATTAAGAAATGTAAGAAGCTGATTCACCAATTGATATTTCTTATAAACGGTAAAAACCCATCATTTTGGCATGTAAGATTTTTGCCGAAACTGCCTAAGTGTTGTTAACATTAAAGCTACTAAGTAGCAGGATTTTATTTTAAACCCACACCAGTACTTTCCCTGTTAGAACATAAAAACACAACAAAACTTCTAAAACCACGCTGTCTGTAGTAGAACCCAGCCCAGAATGCCAAAGGCACTGGGATTAACTAACTTGGTGGTAATTTATTTGTTGTTGGAGAACAAGACAACTCAGCCCTGCATTTTTACATGGTGATTAAACCCCTTCTCTTATTGGTGTTATTTTTTGTGACAGTGTATCTTACACAGCATCTGCCACAAATTTCCAAATCACTTCATACTTCTGATTACTCCATCATTTACTAATAAACGTATGCAGAGTTGAAGGGTTTTGAAAAACACAGGCTTTATAACTACTGACCTAATCTGACTTAGGTTCTGCCACGTGCTTCCTGAGAAATTTATATTTAAATTCTGATCATCGTCTGCGAAATGGGGTTAATACTCTTACAATTAACTGAGGTAATGTCTACAAAGCATTGAGCAAGTTCTAGCCTATGGTTTAGTAAGTGGTAATCAATTTATCATTATCTAAGAATTCACAGATAGGCATTTCAAATCAAGTATTTCACTGTTTCCCAAAAGGTTAAAACAATGGTTTTTATTGCTTTAGGTCATTCGAGGGCAGAACTATCATTGCTAAGAATTACTCCTACCACAAGGCAGATATGTTAAGTCAGGCTTAACCTGATGGGACTGTAACATAAATCAGTCTCTTATTAACATTCCTTTTTTTCTTATTTTACGATTTATTTGAGAGAGAATGAAAGAGAGCACACAAGCAGGGGGAGGAGCAGACGCCCCACGGAGCAGGGAGCCCCACGCGGGGCTCGATCCCAGAACCCTGGGATCATGACCTGAGCCCGACTGAGCCACCCCGGTGCCCTCTTATTAACACTTCTTAAAGAAAAGTGACTCCAGAGTACCTTATTCATTAACCTGGGAGGTATGGAGACCCAATGTTTCACCTAACCCACCAAAACCACATCATTGTTACAACAAATGCATCCGTTACTTTTTTTTTTTTTTAAATGTTTTATTTATTTATTCATGAGAGAGAGGCAGAGGCAGAGGGAGAAGCAGGCTCCCTTCCTAGTAGGGAGCCCGATGCGGGACTCGATCCCAGGACCCTGGGATCATGACCTGAGCCGAAGGCAGACACCCAACCATCTGAGCCACCCAGGCGCCCCGCATCCGTTACTTTTTAAAAAGGCAACTAAGCATCTATTAAGTGCCAGATATTCTGCTTTAATTCTCAAATTCTCTACATTTGTGTCAACTCATACCCAAGTGTTAAGTTCATAAACAACAGTCTGCAGGTCCAAATCACTTTATGGAGTCACTAAGTGGCAGATTCAGTAATGGAAAGTAATTTGACTCCAGTGTCCGTTGTCTTTCCACCAGATCCATTCTCCCCAGGAAGAAATCTATCTTACATCACGAACCAACACACGCTTTAAAAAAATAGGGCGCCTGGGTGGCTCAGTTGGTTAAGCGACTGCCTTCGGCTCAGGTCATGATCCCGGAGTCCCGGGATCCCGCATCGGGCTCCCTGCTCAGCAGGGAGTCTGCTTCTCCCTCTGGCCCCCCCCCCTCTCATGCTCTCTCTCTCTC